ACTGTGTAGCGAAATATGCTTGCAAATAATTTGCTTCGCTACATAGTGTAGCGAATTATGCCACGTCCGAATGCACAGTTAGAAAAAATGACATGTGTCGAGCAGGTAGTAATTCGCTACCCTGTGTAGCATATTATGTTCGCGAATGATTTTTTGACACGTGGCACACTTTCGCAGAAAAAAGCTGACGTGTCATAATACGCTACTATTGGTAATGAATTTGGCCTGCAATATGACCACGTGTCACGAAATTATTGGCCACGAAATTCGCTACCAGTGGTAGCGAATTATGACACGTGGCAGTCTGGTAAAAAACACTATTCGCGTGGTATTTGGGTAAAAAATTTGACAAAACGTGGCATTTTGGTCACTGTTCCAAAAGCAGGAGGGGTTTGGCCCTTGGATGGTGGTTTCTCGAGGGAAAAAAGGGAGGAATCTTGGCAGAAAGAAGGATGAAGGGTTGCAGTCACAAATAGGTGACAGTTATAAAAAAGAGCATGTGGTACTGGGTTTCGAAAAAAAAGAAAGTAATCACAGTTCTGAGAATCTTAGTCAGGATAATAAAGAGGAGGCAGGAAAGCTTATGGTGGGGAATCAAGGTAGGTCTTTGGAAGAAAATAAGGAAAAGAGGAAAGCTTCTCACAACAAGGTCAAACTTAATGAAATGGAGAATGCTTTCAAATTTGTGTGGGAGAATATGTCAAAAGATGAGGTTTATGAAGATATGAATCCTAAGGATGAATCAGCAATACTGGAGAGAATTCATTTTGTTGCCAAATCAAAACTAGATAGGCAACCATCTCTGTTAGCTGCTGGATCAGAATGGAAGGTGACGGATAATGCCATGATTGTGAATAATCTGAGTCCTGAATTGATGATTCAGGATAGTAATGTTGAGACTAGTCAGGAGCGCAGTAGGAAAGTTCAAAATCCGAAACCTCCTGATCCTAAAATGAGTCAATCGAGAAGTGTCTCTAGTAAGTCCAAAGGTGTTGTTGGCCCTCGTGGTGTTGGAAAGAGTTTAAAAAGACGTTTGTCGCAGGTGCAAGCTCATTTTGCAACTTCTCAACATTTTGGTTAATGTCTGTCCTATTTTGGAATTGTAGAGGTGCGGCTAAGCCTAATCTTGGTTGTACCTTAAAAGTGATAGTGGAAAAGCATGGAATTTGATCAATGAAAAAATTGAAATTTGATCAAGCCATTTTTGAAGAAGTTGTTGGGTTTTTAGGAGGTATTTGGGCTTTGTGGGATTTTCATAGAGCTTCTGTTCTCCTCATCTCTCAATCAAAGCAATATCTTCATTTGATGGTCGACATTGGTGATCAAGTTAAATTTGCTTGCACTGCTGTGTATGCTAGTCCTAGAGAAGAGGTGCGTCATGAGATGTGGAATGATGTATATCAGTTCAATCAGAATATCAATATTCCTTGGGTTGTTGCTGGATATTTTAGTGATATTAAGGATGTTAGTGAGAAAATGGAGGTTCTCATGTGGATAGAGCTAAGTGTGACAGATTTTCTGAATTCTTGAAGAGTTGTCTGGTTGAGGATCTTCGTTGCTTTGGTCTTAATTTCACATGGCAAGGTCCAAAATGGAATCGTCTTGATAGAGTCTATAAAAAAACTTGATAGATTTTGTGTTATTCTGGCTTGGAGAGTCTCTTTTGAAGATTCTAAAGTTAGAATTCTCCCCAGGATGCAGTCGGATCATAATCATGTGTTGTTGAATATTTCTAATAGAAATAACCTTTGGCAAGAGAGGCCGTTTAGGTTCCTTGCATCCTGGATGGACCACCCTAATTTTGAGGAGTTAATGGTTGGGAATTGGGATAGAAGATCAGAGATTAATTTGATGTTGAGAAGTTTTGTTCCTATGCTCAAGTTATGGAATAAAAAAGTATATGGAAATATAAATCAAAGGAAAAATTTGCTAACCCATCAGATTGAGAAAGTCCAGATGCAAAGGACAAGATCAGATTGTTTGAGTTTACAAGATATTGAGCAGCAATTGCAGAAGGATTTGGATTTGGTTTTGGATAAAGAAGATATGCTTTGGTATCAAAAATCTAGGCATAATTGGATTATGGATGCTAATAAGAATACTAGATATTATCATTTGAGAACTGTAGTCAGAAGGAGTTCCAACAGAATTTCAAGGCTCTAAAAGGACACTAGCCAGTGGATCGAGGATCCAAATGAGTTAAAAGACCATGTTTGTAATTTTTTTAGAAACTTACTCAATGAAGATTCCAGTTCTCATAGGTGGCTGTCTTCTCCTAGTTTCTGGGCGCCTGTTACAACTGAAACTCGTGAAAACATTACAAGGATGCCGTCCAGTGATGATATTTCTAGCATTTTGCAGTCTATGGGAGACTTTAAAGCTCCTGGCGTGGACGGTTTTCTTGCTGTGTTTTTTCAAAGGCAATGGAAGTTTGTGAATTGTCAAGTTATTGAAACAGTTAGGAGTCTTTGGTCCAATCCTGCTTTGGTGGCTGAGATAAACTCTACTCTTTTGGTGTTGATTCCAAAAGTGAAGAATCCTAATTTTATCTCCCATTTTAGACCAATTTCTCTTTGTTCAGTCTTGTATAAGCTTCTGTCAAAGATCATTATGCAGAGATTGAAGCCTATGATGGAGAGTTTGGTTGCTGCTTTTCAGGAGAGTTTTGTTCCTAATAGACAAATTCGGGATAACATAATAATTGTGCAGGAGTTGATTCATTCAATGCATAAGATGAAGGGTAAGAAAGCTTTCATGGCAATTAAAATTGACTTGGTCAAGGCTTATGATAAAATTCCGTGGAGTTTCCTGAGACATATTCTAGATGAGATTTCTTTTCCTGATCAGTTTATAAATCTGATCATGAGTTGTGTGGAGTCTTCTAGAATAAATGTTCTTTGGAAAGGAGGCAAGACTAGTGAGTTTAGTCCATCTAGGGGTATTAGGCAGGGTGATCCCCTTTCTCCCTATCTTTTTGTCCTTGTTATGGAAAAGCTAACTCATATCTTTATGACTGCTCTGAATGGATGTATGTGGAAGCTTATTATATGAAGGAATTGTGGAGAAAACAAAAGGCAAGCTTAATGTTTGGAATCAACAAACTCTATATCAGGCTGGTAGGATTACCTTGTCAAGTTCTGTTTTGGCAGCTATCCCTTACTTCCAAATGCAGAGTACCAAGATCCCTACTTCTATTTGTATGCAGTTAGAGAAAATTCAAAGGAACTTCATTTGGGGAGATAAGGATCATAGGAGGAAACATCACTTGATTAATTGGAAGACCATCACGCAGCCTAAGAAGGATGGTGGTTTGGGTTTAAAGCGAATGGAGGTCATGAATGATGCCTTTCTTGCTAAAAGAGCTTGGATGTTTATGACAGCAACATATCAGCTTTGGTTTAAAGTTTTACATGCCAAGTATGCTGCTAATTCTAGAAGGGTTGGTTTATTTAAATTCATAAATTCAGATTCAGTGTTCTGGAAGAATATGTGTAGAATTTGGAAGGAGATGGAGGATAAATTAATGTGGGAGCTAGGTGATGGAACTAGTATTAATTTTTGGATGGATAAATGGCTATACCGAATCAACCTTTAATTGAATTTTCTGTAAGAAGTGTGTCTAATCTGAGGCTTGATGCTAATGTGGTAGATATGGTCACATCTGATGGGGAATGGGATTGGATTTTTCTTAATCAATGGCTTCCTAGTAATATCATTAATACATTTCTAGGAACTCTTCCTCCTAATGCAGCAGATGGTCCTGATAGGAGATTGTGGAACTTGGCTGGTGATGGTGAAGTCTCTGTCAAGGCTGTTTATGCCTCTCTTACCAACCAACCCAATTTTGATAACAATAACAGACTCAATTAATCTGTGGCAGTGGCTTGGTCCTCAAAAGATTAAAGTGTTTATGTGGAAGGTTATGCATGTGAGGTTACTGACTAAAGCCAAAACTGCTCTTTGGGGTAATGAGGATGATTTGTATCCTCTTTGTGGTTTAGAAAAAGAGACCGTGATTCATATCCTTCGAGACTGTCAACTGGTGAGAAATATTTGGTCTTGCCTGGTGCCAAATGATTATATACAGTGCTTCTTTCTTGGTGATTTGGACATTTGGTTTGAATTGAATTTCAAGATGAGGATGTCAGGTAATAAAGCAGATAGTTGGTTGTCCTTTTTCTTTGTCACTTGCTGAAAATCCTGGACATGGCGTAATGAAGTCTTGCATGGTTCTTGTTTGCTCACGGCTAATGAGAGAACAAGGTTAATTCAGACTTTAGTTGATGATATAAATATTGCTTGTTGTAATCATTCAAATAGGTTTGTTAAGAGAAGAACAATGAGCATTGATATTTCTTGACAGTTTCCCTGTCATGGTACGATTAAGGTTAACACGAATGGGGCTGCTTGTGGTAATCCTGGTTCTACAGCGTGTGGTGGTGTGATGAGAGACGTTAATGGTAAGTGGTTGGGTGGTTTTGCTTATAGGTTGGGGTGTTGTAATTCCTTCAAAGTTGAATTATGGGGTGTGCTTAGGGGTTTGGAGTTGGCTTGGGTTGCAGGTTACCGTAATATAATCATTGAAAGTGATTCTTCCAGTATAATCACTCTGCTAACCAAAAATGGTGTAGCAATCCGTGAGTGTCATATGATATCTCGCATACGGATATGGATTCAAAGGAATTGGTCTGTGTCCTTCCGGCATACCTATAGGGAAGGGAATTCTTGTGCTGATTGGTTGGCCAATTATATTTTAGATGACCAAGAGCAGTCTTCTAAAATAATTTGGTCGGATCCTCCTCCTGGTATTAGGCTTCTGCTGCTTGCTGATTTAGCTTATGTTAGTAGACCACGTGATGTGGTGTGTAATCTTTAGTCTCTTTTCCTTGTTGGTTTCTTTTCTGTTTGTTTGAACTTAGGCCTTTTGTCTATAAAAAAAAAAAAACTAAAAGACAAAAATTCCTATAAAAAGCTTTTAAAAAAAAGATCCAAGCATGCTTTTAGTTGCATATTTTGATTGGAACAACTCGAAGGGGTTGAGCCTTACAAAAGGTAATTCCAAATTTATCATCAGTGTCCATATCTTCTGGTTGCATGCCATTTTCAAGCTTCCAATCAAAGGAATTGATTAGAGAACCCAACATCAAGAGCAACATCCTATTAGCCAATTGCAAGCCAGGGCATATTCGTCGCCCTGCACCAAATGGTACTAGCTCAAAATTTCTTCCTTTAACATCAATATCTGAACATAGGAACCTCTCTGGTGAGAATAAAGTTGGATTGTCCCATATAGTGGGGTCCCTGCAAATAGTCCACACATCAACTAGCACTTGTGCATCTTTTGGGATGGTGTAACCACGTATCTCCACATCACTCGCGGCTTTTCGTGGAAGCAAAAATGGAACTGGAGGATGCAACCTTAATGTCTCTTTTACTATTGCTTGTAGGTATGGAAGTCCAGAAATGCTTGATTCCTCAACAGGGTTACCTCTGCCTATAATATGCTCGAGCTCTTGTTTTGCTTTTAACATAGCATCTGGATTTCTGAGTAACTCAGTCATTGCCCATTCTAGGGTAGATGTTGTTGTATCCGTTCCCGCAACAAATAGGTCCTATTAGAACACAATATATTAGTGAAATAACTCAGCAGTTGTAATATAACAAGATTTAGAGATCTCCATAAAATTAATAAGAAGTGAGAGAAGATTGATTACATGCGATAAATGTTCAATCATTGTTTTGTCCATCAACTTATTTTCCTGAGAAATGTTGAGTAGGGAATCTAACATGTCGTTGTTCGTGTCAAAATCTGCACCTTCCCTCAGCTTCAACCGTTGGTTAACCAAGTGGTCGAAAATGTCTAACACCTTCCTAACATTCTTAGCTTGGCGCCTCTTTATACCTTGTGGGTCAACCATTTTCAACACGGGAAAATAATCTGCCAAGTTCGGTGTTCTAACCAGGTATGTGATATTCATAATCAAGTCCTTGAACTCTTCTTCTGTACCTGTAGATTGAATCAAATCCACAGAGAAAATGGTGTTTGATAATAGATTAATGGTAGTCTTGAACACTGCTGTTCCAATATCTATTGCTTCACCATTTTGGCTGCTTTGATTGATATCCATGAGGAGCTGTTGCACTTTCTTGCGCCTAACGTCTTGGCTAGCATCAAGAGTCTTGTGTGAAAATAATTGAGTGTTGCATATTTTTCTCAATTCCTTCCAAAGAGGTGAAACGGGTATGAAGGCAATGCTATAGTGTTCGTGGTTGAGAACTGACACAGATTGAGGAATGGTTCGGTTTGACAAGAATTGGTCATTGGTTAGAAGCACCCCTTTGGCCATGTCTGCTGAGGAGATGACAATGGTGGTTATTCGGCCTAGCTTTAGACTCATTACAGGGCCATGAATGTTAGCAAGCTTGGCCAAGGAATGGTGAGGCTTTTGCCACAGTTCAAGGAGGTTTCCAATGATAAAAAGTGGGGAAGGTCCTGGTGGAAGCTTAACTTTTGGCTTTGTGATTCTAGCAATGAATGAATGAAGAGCATGGATGGTGGCGCATGTCAACAGAAGGAACAGTGTACAACTTACAAAGTCCATATCAAAGAGCAATTAATGCGAGTGAATTGCAGGCAAATTAAATGTTGATCGAGGGAAATACAGCAAAAGACAAGTTGCGTGATACATAGGGAACTCAATTTATAAATGACTCCACAAACACCATTAATTAGTATAATCCCACTACTTGTTGTTATCAACGTCAAAGGTCATCTCATGCATGATGCTTCTCATCATCTCCAATTATTGGTGAGCCTTTTACTTAGACTCTTTCTTCCCAATTATATAAATGCTTATGGGTTTAAAATGCATCTCAACTCTCAAGATGACGAAATAGAATCAATATAATAAATATTAAGATCAGGTTTTGTCATAATTGACCAGGTCATGAGCATGAGTTGGTTCCTATATATCTCATTTTTTTTAATGAATAATTGAGGTCGTGTACTTTCATGGGAAAATGAATGCTCCAATCTCGACTCCATAAACTACTGATAAGGACCTGGATCGGTCCTAGCTACTGTTTTGTTATGAGTGCTCCCTAAACTAGACGGTTGATTGTTACTCTACATTCATTAAACTGGAAATGTCACAAGTGCCTTTCCCCACCATTCTTCAATAGCTATTTCTGTTTAAAATGGTAATGGATCTAGACTCTAGTTTTGTCGTAGTACCGAAAATGGGTCAATAAAAAGTGTGTAGAGTACCACTTGTCTTTTAAATTCCATGCAGTTAAATTTGCTTTAGGATTATTTAATATTTGGGAGAAGTGTTTCTTATTTTAAACGACACAACTTATATCATTTTATTCTCATAAAGAGTTGGGATCCACATTTTTATTTTATTTTTGTCCACTATCTCTCTCATTCTTTATCAATTTTTTCTCTCACTAAATAACACAATTTTACATCTTTCAAAATGATAGATACTTTTTCCTTAATATTTTTGTTATCTTTATGTCTGTTTTTCTACCTTCATTGAGAAGAGGGACCAGGCTGGACCCATCTTCTACTTCATGGAACGCAAATAACTACTGGCAGCTAAAAAAAGCTTTTACTGTACGTTTGGTAGAGAAGAAAAAATATTTTATTCATGAATCTTAATTTTTAAAAATATAATTTTTACATTTAGTTTATGATAATATCCGAAAATATAAAATTTAGAAAAATTCAGTTTCTCGATAATTCTGCAGGATTCCGCGTACCAAACGCAGGAAAATATTATTCTCCTTTCACATTTCTTTCACTTCGATTTTTGCACTTCACCTTTTTTTTCTTATAATGGTGGGACCCACCTATTTTATCTCTACAACATAAGATAACTATCTTATATAAAAAGAGACTAATAAAACCCTTTACTTAAACTCCTCTCCCCGCCGCATAGGTAAAGTTTTCCTTTATTCGAATATTTAAAGGGAGCGTTTGGTACAGGAAAAAATTTTATTTGTCCGGAAATCTCGATTTTCAAAAATATAATTTTTACATTCAGTTTACGATAATATCTGAAATTTTAAAAATTTAAAAATTTCAATTTCCCGAGAATCCGAGAAAAATTCATGTACCAAACGGCCCCAAAAGGAAATATATTAATATTTGGAAGTGGCCGTCGAAAAGGTCAGCTTGGGAAGCTATGAACTATTTCATAGATATAAACTTTGTTATTTTTCTTTCCTCTGTTTTGCAAAAATAAAAATAAAAATTAACTTTGTTATTTTCATTTATTTAAATAAAAATTTATCTCATCATTTACTATATAAATTTTAGATGGATAAGAATGATTTAGTAGTATAAATAAATTTAATTCACCTACTTATTTTATTCCATTGTAGTGATGTTTTTCTTAATATTTATAAAATCTCAGATCGACACGACTTATGCTAATATGATAAATATAAATATAAATAAAATCTATTATTAACAAAGAATACAAAAATTAAATTAAATAAATATTATTCAAATGTTCTTTTTTTAAGCTTACAATAATAAATGTAAAAGTTAATACAATTTAAAACGAGTACCTAAGATATTATTTTTATTTTTCTCAATTTATTATCTATTTTTTCAAATTTATCAAAAATAATTAATCCACTTTTTATGGTTATTTGTTAAAAAAGTTTAGGAAAATAAAAAAAAAGTTTGAAATATGAAAGGTAAAAAAAATATAAATAAGAGAAATGAAAAGTTAGTATAAGAAAAATCAATAAAGTTATAAGTAAAAAAATTTCAAAAAATAAAACTTTTGAAAAGAAATGTGATACGTAGAAAAACATCTTTTATATTATATATAGAGGTTTTATAAGAGTTATGTTGTAGGAAAAAAGGTTGTGTAATGTTATAGAAATTCGTTTTGCGTGTCGTAGCTTTTTTGTTTTTCTTCAAAAAGTGTGGGCCCCACAAAATATTGTGTGTATAGAAAAATTTGTTGTGTCATGTTAAATGACAAATACAAACTCCTATATATAGATAGATAAATAGATATGGAAATGGTGTAAAAGTTGCGTAACTAGAATGATAAGCAAATAACATGTTGCATAATTATAATAAGGGTTCCTCATTTCTGCTGTCACTGCCGGAAAAACTTGCAGCAAATATATTTACATAAGATACGGAGCTGGATCCTGAAATAAAAAAAAAATTCCAAGATCCAAATCCTAGTGAAAGTAAGTTGCTGCAAATTTTCTGATCTGCAGCAACGTGAGAGCCATTAAAGCCTTATTTTTTTGTTGTTCAACATAGAAGTATTGAACAAATTTTTTATAATGTGTTTTTTTGTTGTTTTATTATGCAAACAAATCCCTGACGAATAAGATTTCTTATTCTTTCACGTAAATTTCATCTTGCCTTTATTTATTTATTTATTTCTATTTTTTCAGTTTTACTATATCATTCGAGGCATATGAAACAGATAAATGATGAAATGTTACCAATAGTCTTTACAAGAGCACGAACCACCCTTAAAGCGATGAAAACGACTATTATCTCTCACAATAATTTCTCTACCAACAATTCTTGAGATGAACTTAATGGCACTATGGCAATCTCCACAAATCCTAAGATTTTTTGTGATCCGTATGGGCACTCCATGAGGGAGAGCTATGAGCCCAAAAGCAAGAGCAATCTTCTCACTGTGGTACCAGACTTCTGAAGCCTTTTCTTCTTCTTCTAAATCAAAGAGCGATAGATTAGTATCAGGGACATACCCAGCTTCCTTCATCTCCCTCCTGAGCTTAGCTAGCATTCCCTGAATCTCAGAGTTCTTTTCATGAGAGCTATCCTTTGCTTGGAAAACATGGACTCTGTTCTTTACAGCAATCCAACTATAACCAACATTCTTTGTAATACCAATATCTTTCATTTCCTTCCTGACAATAGTGGCTTCTTCCCATCTGCACTTGGCAATTATAAGCATAAGCAAAAGAGCCATGACAATGTTGAGTAAAAAGGAACTGACAATATCAAGTTTCAGCTAAATATGTTAGTAACTGCAGAAAAATGTAAAAATGAAGAAAATACTTCGACAGTAATAAGGGCGAAACAGTTTATTCTCCCAAATAAAATGATCAAGTCACCTAACTTTTCAAGGCTATTATTAAAGAAGGAAAACTAGGTAGCATGGTTTTAAATTATTACCTGCCAGCAGTTGCAAGCATGTTGGAAAGCACTACATGATTGCCAGAGTCTTCAGGATCAAGTTCAAATAATTTTTCGGCTGCAATTTTTCCCAACTTTGGTTTCCCATGCATCCTACAAGCCCCCAGTAGAGCTCCCCACACCGAAATAGTGGGATGAATTGGCATTTTTTTTATAAATTCATATGCACGGTCTACCAAACCAGATCTCCCAAGAAGGTCTACAACACATGCATAATGCTCTGCACCTGGTTCAATTCCATACTTCACTCTCATCCACCCAAATATCTGCATGCCTCTCTCCACTGCCCCTGCCCTACTACAGGCTGATAATACAGAAACTAGTGTGACATAACTTGGTACTATACCACAACTGGCCAATGTCATCTCCTCAAATAGACCCAAAGCCAGGTCGACATCACCTTGGTGTGAATATCCACCTATCATTGCATTCCAAGTGACTAGGTTCCTCTCAGGCATTTCCCTAAAGACTTGCTCTGCATTCTCTATACTTCCACATTTTCCATACAAGTCAACAAGTGCACTCCCAACAAATATATTCTCCTCGACACATGATTTGACAGCAAGAGCATGAACAGACCTGCCCAATTCAAGCCCTCCAAGCTCAGCACAAGCACTGAGTACACTTGATATCATGAAATCCGTTGGTTCAACTTCTTTCCTTGCCTGCAGGAAGACCATACAAGCCCTCTCTTCCTCATGGTTTTGCACTAGGGCAGCAAGCATAGAGCACCAAGAAACAACATTCCTCCTGCCAATTCCATTAAAAACCATTTCAGAAGATACAATGTCTCCACATTTTCCATAGAAATCAATAAGCCCATTCAAAACAGAAACATCCTCCCTGTATCCACTACGAAATATAAAGGCATGTAACTGACGCCCAAGCTCCAAACTTAATGTGTCAACACAGGCATTGAGAAATGCACAAAATGTTATGGGATTTGGCTTTCCATCCACAAAAAGAAACTCTTTGAATGCACCAATTGCATCCAGAGAACGGCAATCCTGAACTGCATTAGAAATATATGCATTCCATGTGGCCAAGTTTCTATGCGGCATTTCATCAAACATGTTCCGAGCCTCAGCTCTATGGCCAGTTTTGCTGTACATGTCAAAGGCACTGCACCCCACAAACACATCAAATATTTGGCCACCTTTCAACGCAAGGGCGTGAACTTGTTTTCCAGTCATGGGCATTTGCAACGAAGCCGAGGCTTTGAAGACACAAGGAAATGTGAAGTCATTAGGTTGAACACACTCACGACGCATGGTAGAGAAGTGAAGGAGAGCAGTGATGAAACGACCATTTTGAACGCAACCAGAGATGAGAGAGGTCCAAGTAACAACGGTGCGCACGTTGGTGAGTGAGAGAACGTGTTGGGCTGAGTTTAGATGGTCGAGTTTGGAGTACATGTTGACAAGGTGGTTGCAGAGAAAGGTTGGGAGAGGGGTGTCATGCGTCTTGATGATGTGTCCATGGACAGCACGACCAAGCAGGGAACAATGAGTTGAAACAGCTGACTCAAGCAAACAACCAAGCAGGTTTGGAGGATGCAAGTTCATTGTTTTTTTATCATGTTAAGGAAAAAAAAATGAACAAGTTTATTCAGGTAGATTAATTTTCAAAGAATCTTCTAAAAAAATGAGAACTAGTTACAGGGTTGTAAGCCGGCTTGAACTGAAAAATGGCAGTCTTAGGTGCATCAAATGCACCCTAGTAAACCAAACTGAAAATGAGAAAACTAGGTTCAGCAAAATGGTATAAACAATAAAGTAATAGTATTTGAAGATTTAAATTATTTAATTGTGATTTTATGAAGTTTGATATTATAATGTCAGTAGTATTTAAAATTATTTTTTAAAAATTATAAATATAAACTAAAACTAATAAGAAGTATGAAAACAAAATAATATAAAAAGTAAAAATAAACTTGACTTAAAAGCAAAATAAATATAATAAAAAAATTTAATGTTTTTCATTTTGTAGGATATAAATTTTATCTCCTCACACACATAAAAGTATATAGGACCCATGTGGGCCCATGTAAGGGGAAGTGAGAGAAAGAAAAAACATAGACTTCACACACTTTTATGTATGGGTAGAAGATAAATTTATCTTCTATAATATGAGAAATAATAATCCCATAAAAATATATAAATTAAAAATATAAAAGAATGTGGATAAAAAAAATGTCAATAACACTAAACAAATAAAGCATATGGATGCTAACAAAGGTGGACACAGTTGGCTAAGGGGTTAGTCCATACCCTATAGAGACATGGGTTCAAACTAGAGGTGACAATATGAGGTGAGCCTGACGGGTCAACCCACTTCAACCAGCCCCGTCTAAAAGTAGGTCAAAATGGGTTCAACCCGCCGTAGGGTGGGTTGACTCGCCGGGTTATATATTTTTTTTCTTTTTACAATTAAGTAGTATATCATTTGTCATTAGGTTTTTATGATATCTAATTTTTTTTATCTTAGTACTCCCTAAAAAAATAAAGAATAAAATTGTTATTTATGACAAATGTTAGCTATATATAGAGATAAATGAGTTCCTAAAGAATATTTAAATATATTTAAGATTGAGATTGGAAAAAATTAACAGAAATATGAAATAAAATAAAATAATATTAAAAAAGTTCATAAAATATAATTTATTTTTGAATTTTAATTATTTTTTTTTAATTGACAGGTTGGTGGGTTGATCCGCCAACGGCCAATCCACGGTGAGTTCATTCTTTTAACTCATATTTAATGACTGGCTAACCCGTCCCGCCCTATTTTTGAAAAATTGATGGTAGGTCAACCCACATTGCCGGCAACCTCTAGTTCAAACTATGCTGGTTGATATAAAAACTTTGTTGATAACTGATATGTAATGAAATTATCAGAGAAGTTGGGTTAAGAGTTTTTCCTAACCATAGTGGAACACATATTTTTTTATTTATTTTTTGATGAAAGGGTAAAGCCCAAAAAGTGGAACACTGATATTTAAACTCGCTTAAACTTTTCACCTTCAAAAAAAAAAAAACCGTATGGATAGAAGCATGCAATGTAAGTTGTCCTTATGCATGCAAACAAGAGCAGTGCCTAGAAGTCTTTATAGCCCTTCTATTATATAAGAAAATGCTGTTCAAACGGACACAGTGCACTCATTCCCGAGGTCACAAAACATGAAAAACAAAACAGGATATTAACAAGAAGACAATAGCGCTTTTGCCCCTTGCAATCTTTTATGCTTGAATAGTAGTGAACAGAAAAGAGCAGAGCTAGCTTTGATCGATGCATTGCTGTATGGGAAATGAATTAATTTGACAAATTAATAACATCTCGGGGGACCCGAGAGGCTAACCCAAATCTTCCAAACCTGCAAATAAACTCGTGTAAGTATAACTGGCAATGCATCTAAGAGTATATTACAAACAAAGAAATTGAAAAAAAAAACTGCATGATGTGTCATTTTCTTTTCAAGTAAAAGTAATTATTTCTCTAGCACTTACTCTAATGTACGTGTCGAAATAAGGCTCGAAGAGAGTGTAGATGAAGAAGGTATCCACTTCAAAGATTTTTATGTCCAAAACAACATTTTGAAATGGATTCAGATGAGCCAATCTAGCCTGATTGTCCTCATAATTGGACCTGAATTTTTTCCTTTTCCTCCATATTTGCACATTATTTTAAACTATAGGTGGGGTCACGGTGTCAAACCCTGCCCAAACTTAAACTCAGGTGCTCTTCTTTTTTTCTTTTTTCTTTTTTTAAGACAAGGTAAAACTGAACTTAATTACGTAATGATTGCACACTTTTATGATTGAATCGTTGATGTGCCAGATTTCATCTATAGTCAACAGGGGATCTAATTAAATCCAAATTCATTTTCATTAAGATACGCTGTTTTGGGTGTTATCTTTTGTCTAAGCTACCCCATGGGGTTGATTGTCTCTGTTTCCTAATTCACGCTATCCAACAAAAGACAAACATTTTATCAAATCAAACTTCTCAATCACGAATCTTGAAACGCAAAATTAGATTGCTTTTAAAGAAACATTATTAAAGGAAATAGTGCTTCTCGAGCTATTACATGTAGGTTAATATTGAATAATTTAGAGTAGTTTATATGGTGTTTTGGCCCGCCCGATCGATCCACCAGTCCGATAAGACATACTCATTATTAAGGGACCAAATCACCTCAGTCCTAGACAACCAATTATGCTAGTATAACTGGTATTCCCTGCACAGGACATCCCAACTTAAGACACCAAATATCTTACTTTGAAAGACTCTATTCTCCCCTATTGACTCCATAAACACCTAATATATCATATTGGGATCATCCCCTCACCTTTCCCCGGCATGGCAGCTGCTGCAAGGTGCCTTGAGTCCCCGACTCAGCAAGGTCAGACTACTTTGACTCTTTTTCAAGATAGTTGACTTGACATATTCTCCCACTAAATTGGAGCCTATAAATACCTCATTCCTCACCACACAAAGACATCATCATCTTATGAACCATTACCCTCTCCATTTGGAGAGTCATTGTAGTCATTAAACCCCTGAAGGAAATCTTAGATTTATGCGGAAGCGGTTTAGGACCTAGTACATTGGTATGCTTACCGAATCATCCTTGTTTCACAATTACCTCTCGGTGCGCAGGTCTCGTGTAGAATCTTCCCTTGTAGGATTCCTCTTCACGAACAGCTCACCTCAGCGTCGCAGCACGAACAACCTCCTTGAAGCTGGACTGTGGCAGATCTTCCAAACTATCTCTCGAGGAGGAAGGGGAAGTGTGTGGGCACTGATTAGATTCAGAGCTTGTCTCTTTCTCACAAAAAAGACCTTGGAGGCTGATGACTTAAGAGGTACTATTTATATGGGTTCCAAGAAACCCTAGCTCATTGGGCTCTAGGTTCCTTGGGCTCTTCTCATACTAATAACCCATTTGGGCTTTAGTAAAAGAGCAAACCCAACAATCTCCCACTTGCTCTTTTGGATACAAACTTGAGTCGTAAAACCCAAGATCATGTAACCCATAAGTCATCATCTATCCGAAAAATACCCCATCCCTTGTCTCAAGCTAGCTTGGGGATCTACCATCTGTTATTAATCAAGGCTCCTGATAATCAACGAATGATTATCTAATTCGGTGCTACTCCACTAAAAGCCCGAACTTGAACTCCAAGATTAACAACACTTATAACATGAATATGCATCGCCCCTTTGTAGAATGTCTATAATTGATTGACAAGTTTTCTGTAACTCAATCAATTATTTATTCCCTTGACTATGATAGTTTCTTTAATGGATTACATGCACTGGCCAGTGTCTTTAATATCCAAGTACCGAAACATATCAAGGGGACATATCCTACAAATTCCATGTTGTTTATCTCATAAATACCGATAATCAAATAATCTCACTCCCAAAATACCGAGTTATTGGCCGTCAATAGATCGAACCTCACCCGTTGGTAAATCAAAGAATGAAAACTATTTGATTACCTATTTATAATAAACTCAGGATTAAGAGCAATCACATAACTATAGTTAACTGGAGATTTGATACCTTATGACAGAAAAACAACCTTAATCAAATCTCTCCTTGATCCTTTCAATGTGAATGTTAACTCACACCAATATTTTACAATGATTCAGACAAAACCATTTCATAAAATATTGCAGCCTAAATAAAGTGCCCAACTTTATTTAACAGCTGTGAATCCATTCATCAATTGTGAGAACCTATGATCATGTCCTCTATGAACGTATCCATATGATCATATACTCCACAATTTGATCCGGACCTTTATGTTTGTAAATAGTGCGCAAAATAAATAAATAAAACCTTATTTATGAAATTCAGAAAATTATTTTATTGTTTCATTGTCTTACTCCAAGAGCACAATGAAACCAATAACTCCCACTTGCTTAATGCAAGTCTGGGATCCTCGTAAGACCCAAAGAAGTAACATGCCTCTCGAACACAAGTTCAGGCAAACTCTTAGTAACTGGGTCTGCAAGATCCACCTCTAATGCTATCTGAGTTTAGTGAAAAACTCATAGCTCGAGGTTGATTTTCTTGAGTCAATATCCACTTGAAATAACTGAATTTTTGAAAACTCAGCTTTTCAAGACTCCCAACCAGCATATAATCTCTCGTTCTCCAAAGATACTTGAGTACATGCTTAACAATAATCTAGTATTCCTCTAGGTTCAAAATGGTACTATCTCACTACTCCCACTGCGTGACAGATGTTTGGTTTAACGCCCAACATGATATGTGTGAGTCTACCTTTGCCAAAGCATAAGATATCTTGCTCATGCATTCTTCCTTCTTAGAAGTCTTTGGTCACTCCTTAGGAAGATGAATTCCACATCTGAGAATTATAATTCTTCTCTTAGAATTCTCATGTTGAATTTTGGGTTTTGTCAATGTAAGTAGCCTGAGGTGATGCCAACAACTTATTCTTCCGGTCTCATAAGAGTTTTATACCAAGAATATAATTGGCTTCCCCAGTACTTCCATACCAAAACACTAACTTAGCCAACTCTTTATGCTTGAT